CCGCTTGTGAAAGCATCTGATCAAACCGATCTCTGTTTGATCAGATGCTTTGGAGGCCAGAGGAAAGATCCGAGATCTAATAGATAACATAATTGTTGATACAAATGTTACAATGATTGCTGTTCATCCTAAAGTGTAACTTTTAAAAAATTAAAAATGGGTGAACAGGCAGGGTTTTTATAGCAGAAAAGACATTGGGGATGATTTACTAAACTGGAGAGTGCAAACTCTGGCGCAGCTCTGCATAGAAACCGATCAGCGTCCAGGTTTTATTGCCGCAGCTTAATTGAACGACCTGAAGTTAGAAGCCAATTGGCTACCATGTACAGATGCACCAGATTTTGCACTCTCCAGTTTTAGTAAATAAACCCCATTTTTCTCTCCCTCTCTTCTGCATTAGGGCTGGTTCACACTAGGAATTCACATGCGTAACTTAGCTTTGACACATGCTGCTGATTGTAACTGCAGTGCATTCTGAGCGTGGTGCAGGAAACATACATGGAACGCGGGTTTCCCGGACCGTGTTCTGGTGTAAAGTTACTTGCTTTCCTCTATCCTCTGAAGGTGCAGTTTACGGTGAAACGCGTTAGTTATGGCAGATACACAATGTTATCACACACGCTAGTGGGAATCCAGTGGTGCTTATCCTTGGTTATATGCCTGCAATTGTCTTCTTATTGTAAGTACATTACCATAGTAACCCCTTCACTGCGGCACCTCCTGGCCCTTATAGGTGTTTCTGGCATCGGGATTTAGGGTCACGTGACCATTGTGATTGGCTGTCACAGCAGTCACATGATCGGAAAGGTCCCGATTGCAAGGAGAGATTGGAACCTTTCTGTGGAACGTCAACATATGCAAGCTCTCAATACGTTTACAAATGGTGTGCGTCAAAGCCCAGCCACCAAGAGACTGCATATTTGCAGGATGGCAAGGAGTTTACCTTCCATGTGGGTGGTGTCATTTCTAGGCACCCTCTATTCCTGCTGCACTGAATGCTCTCCATCTCACACTTTGAAGTGTGTCTTACTTTTCTTTGGTATTTTCCATCTTGATTTTGGACTGTTCATCAGGATATTTATCCATCTGTACGGACATTTTGCACATATGTTTGCTTTATTCATTAAGTGTTCTTGCATGGCAAGACAACTTACTGTTATCTCACATATATATTCTTATTATTATAGCCAAGTTTACCACCCTAACTCCTCCCACAGTTTTTACACTACATACACAGTAATATATCGAAACATGCAGATTGTTCCCGATTGGTGTGCTATTACTTTGTGGAATGTTTTGACGAATGGTTCACGAAATATCGGCGTTTTTGTGGTGAAATTGGTCCCATAGGAATGAATGGTGGAATGTTCAAAACTAGAGTGTGAGCTGAAAAATCAGGACATATCTAAACTGCCATCACTCCCTCATTTTCAAGCCCACCTACACAAATCTTATATCAAAAGGTTCAGCTATCCCTGCTGCCACTACAAATGTCCACGGCTAAGCCATAGTCCTGATAGTTTTCAAATATGACCATTTGTTTGCAACTCACGCCGCCCATTGACATTGTAGACTACTGGTGGAGGCAAGAACACTTCACACAATTTCCCCAGATATTGTAGCTTTTCTAGTTTTTATTATTTTGGTTTGCAATTTTGAAAAACATTTTTATTTATGCTTGTTTTTTTTATAATGGTTCATATGTACATTTGTCCATCTGTATGGATATACACCTTTTTTATGTTTATTTTTTATTTTGAGAGTGGAGTACTTACTAGGTTATATTATACACACTTTAAAGTTTGAGTGCTTTTGAGCTGATCAGTGTCCACATGCACATTTGTCTAGCTATACGGATATACACTCTGTTTATCTTTATTTTGAAGGTGGAATATGGTATTACAAATGCCTTAATGTGTTTATATTTGGCTTTCAATTTTTATTTATTTTTTAGGTTATTGCATCTAGTGAGTTTATAAAATAATATGGTTTTATATACAGTCATGGCCGAAATTGTTGGCACCCTTGATATTTCTCCAGGAAATCATGTATTTCTCACGAAACGTATTGCATTAACACATGTTTTGCTATACACATGTTTATTCCCTTTGTGTGTATTGGGACAAAACAAAAAAAAGGGAGGAAAGAAAGCAAATTCGACATAATGTCACACAAACCTCCAAAAATGGGCTGGACAAAAGTATTGGCACCCTTTCACAACTGCGGATAAATAAGAATGTTACAAGCATGTGATGCTCCTGTAAACTCACCTGGGGCAAGTAACAGGTGTGGGCAATATAGAAATCACACCTGAAAGCAGATAAAAAGGAGAGACGTTCACTTAACCTTTGCATTGTGTGTCTGTCTGTGCCACACTAAGCATGGACAACAGAAAGAGGAGACGAGAACTGTCTGAGGACCTGAGAACCAAAATTGTGGCAAAATATCAACAATCTCAAGGTTACAAGTCCATCTCCAGAGAACTAGATTTGCCTTTGTCCACAGTGCGCAACATTATCAAGAAGTTTGCAACCCATGGCACTGTAGCTAATCTCCCTGGTCGTGGACGGATGAGGAAAATTGATGAAAGATTGCAACGCAGAATAGTCCGGATGGTGGATAAGCAGCCCCAAACATGTTCCAAAGACATTCAAGCTGTCCTGCAGGCTCAGGGAGCATCAGTGTCAGCGCGAACTATCCGTCGACATTTAAATGAAATGAAACGCTATGGCAGGAGACCCAGGAGGACCCCACTGCTGACACAGAGACATAAAAAAAACAAGACTACAGTTTGCCAAAATGTACTTGAGTAAGCCAAAAGCCTTCTGGGAAAACGTCTTGTGGACAGATGAGACCAAGATAGAGCTTTTCGGTAAAGCACATCATTCTACTGTTTACCGAAAACGGAATGAGGCCTACAAAGAACAAAACACAGTACCTACGGTAAAATATGGTGGAGGTTCAATGATGTTTTGGGGTTGTTTTTGCTGCCTCTGGCACTGGGTGCCTTGACTGTGTGCAAGGCATCATGAAATCTGAGGATTACCAAAGGATTTTGGGTCGCACTGTAGGGCCCAGTGTCAGAAAGCTGGGTTTGCGTCCAAGATCCTGGGTCTTCCAGCAGGACAATGACCCCAAACATACGTCAAAAAGCACTCAGAAATGGATGGCAAAGAAGCGCTGGAGAGTTCTGAAGTGGCCAGCAATGAGCCCAGATCTAAATCCCATTGAACACCTGTGGAGAGATCTTAAAATTGCTGTTGGGAAAAGGTGTCCTTCCAATAAGAGAGACCTGGAGCTGTTTGCAAAGGAAGAGTGGTCCAAAATTCCGGGTGAGAGGTGTCAGAAGCTTATTGATGGTTATAGGAAGCGACTGATTTCAGTTATGTTTTCCAAAGGGTGTGCAACCAAATATTAAGTTAAGGGTGCCAATACTTTTGTCCAGCCCATTTTTGGGGTTTTGTGTGACATTATGTCATATTTGCTTTTCTGCCTCTGTTTTATATTTGTTCCAATACATACAAAGGGAATAAACATGTGTATAGCAAAACATGTGTTAATGCAATACCTTTTTTGTGTGAAATACTTGATTTTCAGGAAAAATATCAAGGGTGCCAACAATTTCGGCCATGACTGTACGTGGTTATAGTATATGGAATATATACTTTGTAATTATTAAGAGACAGCGCACCCACTTTTCTTGAAGAAGGAAAGTTACTTACCTGCCTATCCACCCCTATACAGTGAGCTGTGCATGCGCAGCTCATTGTGCAAGTTTGGCAATGATGAGAGTGAACTCCTGTGCATGCATGGGAGTGATGTTGTCTCGGTCTGGCTAACAAAATCGGCTGGTGAGCGATATCCAGAAGATGGCCACCTGAAGATATCACCAATGAAGTTGAATATAGCTTTGCTTTAAAGTGGTTCTAAAGGCTGAAAATTTTTTTTTTTTACTTAAATGCATTTTCTGCATTAGAAAAAAAAGACATACTTACCTAAGCCCAATCTTGATCCAGTGATGTGCACAAAATGTACCCTAGTGGTAAACAAGTATTTAACCCTAGCAGTGATGGGGCAGCCCCACTGCAAGCAAGGATTTTTGTTTTCCCCTGGAGACAGGCTTTAATGTCATTGAGGTTGTTTTTTTCTACAGCAGCCACAGCCTGATTAGAAAAGTTTCTACATTGCCAACAGCTTCAAAGAAGATCCTCTATGTGGAAGCAGTGATCTCTGTAGAGGTCCAACAAGCCCCCTACTGAGTCAAACCTATAGCTCCCTGGTGATTGGAGAGCACTACCTCTGACCTAGTAGGGGATGTATCCGATGATTTATCATAGAGAACAAGGGTCCCTTTCTGCAGCATGCTGGCAGCACACAGGCCTTTAGTCAGGCTGTGGCTAACTTTTAAAGAAAACAAACTGTAGGCCTCTGTACATCATTTTGATGCATCTGCAATTCAGCCAATTTAACCTCTTGCCACTCACCTAATGTTAATGGTCTGCTGCAAAAACAATGGGCTTTAATGCTTATACCTCATGCACATTGGACATTTGGCCATCTCTCCTAGGCAACTTTTCTTCTGCCAGCAGCGTTTTGGCAGAAAAACTCATGTAGCTCATTTAGGAGCACTTAAGCACTTGGAATGTTAATTAATTTAATTGGCCAGAATAGCAATTTATTCTGGCCTTTGAAATGAATTAACGCTCAAGCACTAAATGAGCGTTAGATGCATGTACACACGCCAAGCATTTTTTCTGTTAATACATTGCTGCTCCAGGATGCACTAGCAGGGTTTTTTTCTACCTCTAAATTCCTCTAAACATGTCTGTTTGCATGGACATATAAGGGAACGTGCAGGAATTTTTAGCTGCAGAAAAAAGCCCCCAAAAACGTCAGATACCACTAACAGCAGAGTTTAAAACGCCCAGTGTCCATAAGCCATTACACGCCGCACGTGTGTCCATGGATAGCCAAGGTTTCTGTGTTGGAGACGCACTCACTGCAACAGGGGCGGACTGACAACTCATGGGGCACCCCGGGCAATAGGGGATCATGGGGCCCGTGTCCTTGCCCAAACTCAAAAAAGCCTATGAAAAAGGTACCAGGGGCATCTCATGGGGCCCCCTACTAACCCCGGGCCCTCGGGCAGTGCCCGAGTTTCCAAATGGTCAGTCCGCCCCTGCACTGCAATCTTCCAGCAAGGTCATGGACAACTCCCAATCTCTAGCAATGGTTGAAGTGGTTGCATGATCTACCACACCTTCTTGCACCCCTGGAATGAAGGCAGAGTTAAAGGGGTTAAACTGAAAGTTCAGTTGGGCTTTTTTTTTTTTTTTTTGGATTTACAGTAGATACACTCTAACCCACAGAATTCTGTTCCTACCATGAAAGGGTTAGTTGGTTGTGTTTGCCCCCCAAGCTAAATGTCTGAGCTGTACAACCCCAAACACTCTGGCACACTCTGTGACATTTGCTTGTTTAGTTTGGCCATTTATTCCAGACTTGACACAGAGGGAGAGAATTATTGTCTGTGTTGATTATTTCTCACGCCTGGCATCCTCCACCTTCCTCTGGGAATCCCACTTCATATGATAGTCGGTCTCCAGGGGGCCGCATTCCATCTAACAGTGAGAAGCAGCAACAAGAACCGAAATGCTCTGAACTGAATGAAATGAGTGCCAGTAAATCTGTCCCGGCATTTTAATTCTTGTTTAGTGAAAGTCACATTAGCTGGGTGTTTTATTGTATATTAAAACAGACTGCTGCTACCTTTTATATGTGGGGGAGGAAAACTCATTTTCAGTTTTTCTACTTTCAGAAGAAGAGAATGAGCGGCTGAGCATTGAACAGGGTCTAATCCATTTCATTAGAACAGTAGCCTACAAACCCAGAGCCGGAGGCCATGGAGGTCTTGGTTCCCCTTCCCGCAATCCAATGATTGGGTGTAGAATGTCTTGGTGATTTGAACAACTTGGGCCCCCAGGCCTTTTTCTCCATTAATCCTCCTGTCCCAGAGTGCTTCATTTCAGAAATGTCTCGTTTCTACACCTTAGTCTACACTAATGTGTTATATATACTGTACATTGGTTTTCAAGACAGATAGGGCTTCCATTTGATAGCAGATTTGGATGCATGTTTTCACTTCCTTGACTTTTATTAGCTAAAATAAGGTTTTTCCAGCATTTTTCCCATTGCAATGTTTACCTGAATTGCATCTCTCTCTATGTAGATGTGTGTGTGTGTATATATATATATATATATATATATATATATATATATATATATATATACACACACACACACATACAGGGGTTAAAATTTTGAGTCCAGACCTACTATCCGATCACAAAACTTACTCTCCACCAGTTTCTCCACCCAACCTTGCCCAGGTCCGCCCCCAACCCCACCACCGGCCCGCCCCAAACCCCACCCCCAGCCCACCACCAACCACGCCCCCTTTAAAGCTTAGGAAATTACATTTGTCTTTAGAATAAAGAGTCCAAAATATAAAACTGTACACAGTAATGTATATCCCAGCTCCCCTGTACTCCATTATAGTGATATGACATGTATACAGTAATGTATATCCCCCCTCCCCTGTACTCCATTATAGTGATATGACATGTATACAGTAATGTATATCCCCCCTCCCCTGTACTCCATTATAGTGATATGACATGTATACAGTATGTATATCCCAGCTCTCCTGTACTCCATTATAGTGATATGACGTGTATACAGTAATGTATATCCCAGCTCCCCTGTACTCCATTATAGTGATAGGACATGTACACGGTAATGTATATCCCAGCTCCCCAGTACTCCATTATAGTGATATGACATGTATACAGTATGTATTTCCCAGCTCCCCTGTACTCCATTATAGTGATATGACATGTATACAGTATGTATTTCCCAGCTCCCCTGTACTCCATTATAGTGATATGACGTGTATACAGTATGTATATCCCAGCTCCCCTGTACTCCATTATAGTGATATGACATGTATACAGTAATGTATATCCCAGCTCCCCAGTACTCCATTATAGTGATAGGACATGTTGTATACAGTACTTACTCCTAGTCCCTCCGAGTCCCCCCCGCGCCAGTGGAGAGGGTGTCTCCTCTCAGCGGAGGGAGAGCGGACCTCTCCTGCACCTGTCCCCTCAGCAGCGGAACCGCAGAAGCCGGAAACCGGAAGTTCTAAACCGGAACTCGGCTTCACAATGAGGCTCTGAGCGCAGGTGCAGTCGCTCCATGCTTCATCTGTGCTCGCTGTTCGCCACAGAGGAATTCCTCCTCACATTTGGCGAGCGGGTGAGTGGCTTTTTCAAGCCCTGTATATATATATATATATATATATATATACACACACACACAGCATCCCAGTCTTAGTCCGTAGGATTCAATGTTGAGTTACATAGTCTGGCTGAAAAAAGACAAGAGTCCATCCAGTTCAACCATGAAAAAAAAAGTTATAATCCTATACCCACAGTTGATCCAGAGGAAGGCAAAAAAAACCCCAGCAAAGCATGATCCAATTTGCTCCTGCTGGGAAAAAAAATTCCTTTCTGATCCCCCGAGAGGCAATTGAATATTCCCTGGATCAACTTTACCTATAAATGTTAGTAATCCAGTTAAATTCTGTGTATCTAAGAAAGAATCCAGGCCTTTTTTAAAGCAATCCACTGAGCTGGCCAGAACCAACTCTTGAGGAAGTCTATGCCACATTTTCACAGCTCTCACTGTGAAGAAAGCTTTCTGTGTTTGGAGATTGAATTTCTTTTCCTCCAGATGTAAAGAGTGCCCTCTTGTCCTCTGTGATGACCTCAGGGTGAATAGCTCTACACCGAGTCCACTATATGAACCACTGATGTATTTATACATGATGATCATATCCCCCCTTAATCTCCTCTTCTCAAGAGAGAATAAATTCAGTTCCTCTAATCTTTCCTCATAGCTGATCTCCTCCATGCCCCTTATCAGTTTGATTGCCCTTCTCTGTACTTTCTCCAGTTCCCCAATGTTCTTTTCGTAAATTGGTGCCCAAAACTGAACTGCATATTCCAGATGAGGTCTTACTAATGATTTGTACCGGGGTAATATGATATCTCTCTCTCTGGAGTCTATACCTCTTTTAATACAAGAGAGGATTTTGCTCGCTTTAGAAACCGCAGCTTGGCATTGCATGCCATTATTAAGCTTGTGATCTACCAGAACTCCCAGTTCCTTCTCCACCATTGATTCCCCCTAGTTGTACCCCCCTAGTATGTATGATGCATGCTTATTCTTAGCCCACAAGTGCAGAACCTTACATTTATCAACATTAAACCTCATTTGCCACATAGTGGCCCAATTATACAGTGCATTGAGGTCGGCTTGTAAGTTGGAGACATCCTGTAAGGACGTTATTCCACTGCACAGCTTGGTGTCATCTGCAAAGACTGAAATGGGATTCTTAATTTCAGACCCTATATCATTTATAAATATATTAAAAAGTAAGGGTCCCAACACTGAACCTTGGGGTACACCACTGACAACCCTAGACCATTCAGAGTATGAATCATTAACCACTACTCTCGGAATACGATCTTTTAGCCAGTTTTCTAACCATTTACATACGGATTTTTCCAAGCCTGTAGAATTTACCTTACACATTAGCTGTGTGTGGGGAACGGTGTCAAATGCTTTTGCAAAATCCAAGTATACCACGTCCACCGCCAACCCTCTGTCCAAGGTTTTGCTCACTCCCTCATAAAAAGAAATCGGATTTGTTAGACAACTTCTGTCTTTCATGAATCCATGCTGTCTATTGCTTAAAATATTTTTTTCCAGCAAGAACTCATCTTTGTGGTCTTTTATTAAACTCTCCAGTATCTTCCCAACTATAGAAGTTAAACTAACAGGTCTATAATTACTTGGTGAAGATTTTGACCCCGTTTTAAATATTGGCACCACATTGGCCTTACGCCAATCCAGTGGTACTATGCCAGTCATTAAAGGGTCCCTAAAAATGAGAAACAATGGCTTTGAAATGACAGAGCTCAATTCTTTAAGGACCCGTGGGTGTATGGCATCCGGTCGAGGTGCTTTATTCACCTTTATACTGTCTAAATATTTTTGGATCATATCAATTGTGAGCCAATGTGGATCATCTGGAGCTGTGTCACCATGCCCATTATGGACAAGAGCTCCCTCATGCTCCTTTGTATACACAGAGCTGAAGAAGGTATGAAATAAATTTGCCTTCTCTTTGTCCCCAGTCACCCACTCTAGATTATTTTGTAAAGGGCCTACATGCTCGGACCGGACCTTTTTACTATTAATATATTTGAAGAATTTTTGGGGGTTGGTCCTGCTATCTTTTGCAATCTGTCGTTCATTTTCAATTTTTGCGGCCTTTATTTCCTTTTTTTCATATTATGTTATATTCTTTGTAATGTTTAAACGATGATGGCGTTCCTTTATTTTAATATTTAATAAAAGCTCTTTTCTTATTATCTATAGCTTTTTTAACTTTGGCCGTAAGCCACATAGGTTTGATTTTTAGCCTTTTAAACTTGTTTGCCCATGGGAATATATTTTGCAGTGTGTTCACATAGTCTTTTTGAAGAACTCCCATTTCGGAGCTGGCCCACCCTTTGCAGCTATAACAGGCTCAGCTCTTCTGCAAAGGCTGTTCACAGGGTTTAGGAGGGTGTTTTTGGAAATGTTTGGCCATTCTTCTAGAAGCACATTTGTGAGGTCAGGCACTGATGTCGGACGAGAAGGCCTGGCTTGCAATCTCCACTCTAATTCATCCCAAAGGTGTCCTGTTGGGTGGAGGTCAGGACTCTGTGCAGGCCAGTCAAGTTACTCCACCCCAAACTTGGTCATCCATGACTTTATGGACCTTGCTTTGTGCACTGCTGCGCAGTCATGTTGGAAAATTGTCCAAAATGTCTTGACATGCTGACTACTTAAGAGTTCCCTTCACTGGAACTATGGCGTCAAGCCCAACCCCTGAAAAACAAACCCACACCATAATCCCCCCTCCACCAAACTTTACACTTGGCCCAATGCAGTCAGGCAAGCACCATTCTCCTGGGAACCGCCAAACCCAGACACGTCCATTGGATTGCCAGACAGAGAAGCATGATTTGTCACTCCAGAGAACACGTCTCCACTCCTCTAGAGTCCAGTGGCGGCGTGCTTTACACCACGGCATCCAACGCTTTGAATTGCACTTGGTGATGTAAGGCTTGGATACAGCTGCTCGGCCATGGAAACCCATTCCATGAAGCTCTCTATGCACTGTTGTTGTGCTAATCTGAAGGCCACACCAAGTTTGGAGGTCTTTAGCTATTGACTCTGCAGACAGTTGGTGACTTCGGTGCACTGTGCACTTCAGCATGCGGTTACCCCACTCTGTTTTTTTACATTGCCTACCACTTGTTGGTGGTGTTGCTGTTGTTCCCAGTTGCTTCCACTTTGTTATACTCCCACTAACTGTTGACCGTGGAATATTTAGTAGCCAGGAAATGTCACAGATGGACTTATTGCACAGGTGGCAACCTATCACGGGACCACGCTTGGAGTCACTGAGCTCCTGAAAGCGACCCATTCTTTCACAAATATTTGTAGAAGCAGTCTGCATGCCTAGGGGCTTGATTTTATACACCTGTGGCCATGGAGGTGATTGGAACACCTGAATCCAATGATTTGGAGGGCTGGCCCAATACTTTTGGCAATATAGTGTATGATTACATCTACATACAATAGGATTTGGCATATTGTTTATCCTAACTGCCCATAACTACAGTACCTCCTTAAAGTTCCTATCCAATATAACGTGGATTAGAGACGTAATACAGACAAGCAATTGTATTATCCCATTAAGGTGTAATTTGAGGGATAGATGAAATTGTGATGATTCATGTCCTTATCTATTCACCTCATAGTGGCCACTATGTATGCTATGTGTTTTGAGTGAATGTGTGCATGCCTAGGTTCTTGATTTTATACACCTGTGGCCATGGAGGTGATTGGAACACCTGAATCCAATGATTTGGAGGTCTGGCCCAATACTTTTGGCAATATAGTGTATACACACACACTCTCCTGTAGGGGTTCTGGATAAGGTCAGTGGAGACCCGATCTTGACCCCCCCACACCCCCATGTATCTACACAGCAACAGATCAATCAGATCTAATATCGATCTATGGCTAGCTGCAATAAACCAGCAATAGATTACTAAAGGAGATACTTACTCCTGCGGGGGAAAGCAGGTAAGGACTGCTTGAGCATCCATACAAGGAGCTTCCAAGTTTTGTCAAAGCTTAATTAAACAAGCTGAAGTTAGAAGTTGATTGATTATACCACGCACAGCTGCATCAGATTTTGCACTCTACAGTTATATTAGTAAATTGACCTCATTGTGTTTCCTGTGACATGCTACAAGCACTGCCATGAACAGCCGGGGGATCTAGCTGTACCCCAGCCAGGACCCAGGAGAACCCATTACTTAGTGCCACTTAAAAATGGCACCTAAGCAGGGGTGGACTGACAACTCATGGGGCCCTCTGGCAATAAGGGATCATGGGGCCCCTGTGTCCTTGCCCAACTCAAAAAAGCCTATGAAAAAGGTACCAGGGACATCTCATGGGGCCCCCTACTGACCCTGGGCCCTCGGAAAGTTTCCAAATGGTCAGTCCACCCCTGCACCTGAGACAAGTGGTTAATGTAAACCTTTTTTCTATAAGAAACATAGGGGCTTCCACTGCTGACCTTCTTTTGAAGATGCTATCTGCTTGGCTCAGATTCTCTGGCTTTAAAAACCATCCCATTAACCAGCTCTTTTAATTAAAATACCTACAGACGCTCTTTTATGTTTGCCTAAGTCTGTGTCCCTTGATGGTGGCACTTGCGGGAGGGGCAATTGGTGACCTAATGTTACAGTTTGTGTCCACAATGACCAGTTTTCCCCTTATGTCATAAAGCCCTGCAAACGATCCCACCGCCACACAGTCAAAAGAAAGAGTCCACACCACCCAGACAGTAATAATGTCACCTGAAACATTACTCCCATCTTCTGCAGAGAAAATGCAGTACCCAATGAGTCACATGATAGCCGATTTAGGTAAGTAAAAAGATATCTCCTTCTGTAGTCTCAGCAACTGTGTGCAGGGAGGGAGATCGCACACTGTGTATGCACAGTCTTTGAACGAGGTAGTGCATCTAGTCCTTGGGAGAAAGCCTCTGATGTCTTTGGGGGAGGGATTTGCTTACTCTGCATTTTTGCATACAGGCTGTGAACACCTAGAGGTATAGAATTTCTTTTTTTAAAAAGATGAAGAATGGATCATAATGTGCTTGGGAGCCTGTGGAATTTTTTGTAAAATGTCCCTAAGGTGAACTTATCCTTTAAATAATTAAAATGTTTTCGACAATTACACAGGTCCATAGCAGAAATGTGAAAATTGCTATGGTCCATAAGGGGTAGGTGTGAGATCTGAAGAGCAGTATGGTAAGCCACTAGAGCTGAACTTTTCTTGGTGTCAATAGAAATCATTTTCTTTTATTTTGCTAGTGCATAAGCGCAGTAGAGAGCAAGCTATTGGGTGTTGTAGACCAGTGTTTTTCAACTTTGAAAGCAGTGCCTGGTAAATTCAACTACAACCTTCCATGATCCAACAAGAAAAAAAAGTTTATATCCATACAATAAAAGTGTGGGAATGCAAAATATTTATTGAAGTGCTGGAAGGCTCTAGAAGGTGCATGGGTGTCACTGTGGAGGCGAATGGGGTTTCTGGAGGGAATTAGATTACTCTAAATCAAAATTAGTGGCCATATAAGAGATGAGGTTTTTGGAGGGTGCCGAGGGCAGCTGTGGGCCATGTAGGCTCTGAAGGGGTCTGGGATCTCTCCAGGAGGCTGGGGCTTTGCTGGGGCACTTGATAAGACTGGAAAGCACTAAGGGGGCACTGTGGAAAGTTCAGATTAACTGTGGGACACGGTTGGAGATTTTGAGCAGTATGGGGGGGGGGGTACTAGAAATTTTTTCAGCAGGATGGGGGGGAGACTGTGGAAGGTTGGGCAGAACTGCAAGCACAATTGGAGCTAAGGGGCACTGTGGTAGGTTAGGGCATCTGTAGCTGTCTTTGAAGCCCAGGAGGTAGAAGGCTGTGTCCCATTGGTGGTTGAGAACTACCTGCTGAAGATAAAAAAAAATTTCAAAAAGCTTCAAGTGGATCTTCACTTGACCCCCACCCTCCATTTTTTTTTACCCTTGCTTACCAGGTAGTGTTTTCTGCAAAGTTCAGATACCCACCCACCTAGTGGATCCAGAGTTGGTCTGCTGAGATCCTCTTCTGCCACTGCTTGGTCCCGTGCCACCATATTGTGTGTGACATCATTAAGAGGCCCACCAGCTCTTCTGGGTTCAGCCAGAGGACCTCTTGATGGACATGGTACTAGGCCACCCCCTCCTCCTCTGTGAATGAAGGGCTGTGCCTCTTAGGATATGTGATGTGCTTATTCCAGGAGGCACAGTGAACATTGTGCAAGTCATTTGTCTAGGAAAGTGCCGTGCATGTGGGAGTGGGGCAGAAAATTTTTCATGAAAAAATGTAAACAAAAAAAAAAGACAGCACTATTCATGCAGGGGAGGGGTAGATATGAGGGAGGTTTAATTCAGGGGGTGTAGATTTTGCTTTCAGAAAGCAGGCAAACTGACCCCATTCCCGACACAGAACACTCTTGACAACTTCCCTATCATCTGTTTTTTTTTTTCCTCCCACCACCAGAACGGAGCAGATCCTGAGGGAAGTGCCGACTCTGGAAGCCTCAGCAGAACAACTCTGCCTGACATCTCCCTGGTATGTATTGCTGCTGATGAGATGCTTAATTATAGGGATCCTTCAAAGTGATTGACAGTCATAGAAAAGAGCTGCTGTGGTATTTTTCCATCAAACCATTCCAATAACGTACACATCAAAGTCAGTACAAACACAGGTAATATGGCTAATAGCTTTACAAAGACTCCTTTATCTTCACTAGAGCCTTGAGGCACGGAGCTGAAAATAGCACTGGCACATCCAGAACGATTCCTTCTACCCCGAGGGCCATTGCAAAGCTCTACAAATTAAAAGCCATGCATTATGGATGATCTTCCCATTAATCTGGACCATTCCTGGACAGGTCAATAGTTATTCTCATAAGGAGCTCATATCACAGAACCTGTTCAGCAGAAAATCCAGTTTGTATGCAAAGCTGGAGAATAGCAAGAATTTCATGCTACTTAACTCCTGATTAACATGTTAATTAGACATTCAATTGTTGGACAGAACATGCTCTGAGCTGACATGCTAAGAAATGGAAAAACTATTTACATTTTGATTGATTTTTTAGGTAGTTAAACTTTATGCCTAGGATCCTGATAAAACCAAGGCCTTGTTTCATTATTCCCAAGATAATTTACTGCGTTATTAGCAGTTGATGTTCATATAACCCAATATAATGTTAACCCTCCCTGGGGCGTACACGTTCAAAAAATAATTTTGGGCCTGAAGATTTGTTAAATCCCTCCAAACATTATATATTTTCTGAAAGCAGAGACCCTGGATAAAAAAAATGGTGGTAGTTCCACTCTTTTGTCATACCGTGTAAGAACAATGGTTTATTAAGCATGAAAAATAGATACTCAGCATGTTATGCCTTAAAAAAATAGTGCAAGATAAAAAAAAAAAAATTTCGATGTTCTCTATAAGATATTTATAACCTCCATTGTTTTCATCTATTAGGAAAGAGGAAAATGCCTCAAATATCCTGTCCAAAAAATAATTCACTTTTTTTTTTTTAAATAATAAACCCGATTGTTCCTTCCAGCTTAGTAAGTGGTTGGTCCAAAGTCAGAAATTCAATGTTCAAAATCAATTCTCCGTAACTTCGTAAATGCAGCTGCCTTTTCTACATAAAAGATCCAATCTGCAAAGTGTCCTAATGATATTCTTGCATTGATTTTGGACACTGAATTTTTTAACTTTGGACCAATCACTTTTCGAGCTGGAAATAACACTATGTTCAGTTTTAAAAGAAAATGTTAATTATATTCTCTTTTTTTTTTGGACAAGAAATTTAAGACATTTTTTCCTATTTTTTATATATCAATATCAACTAAAAAAAGAAAACAAAATGAATATATTATATATTAAATATTCTCCCTTTGATGAAGACCTTAATATGCATCATAGTATATATAAAATTGTGGGTGTTCTCATCCTAATTTAGCCTATAACTTTGGGACTATATTACTGGCACATTCACAAAGAAAAGTTTTTTTCTCATAATACTCTATAAAATCTATTTTTTTAAATTAAATTTTTATGGGAAAAAAAAAAAAAACTTTCCTTGTTTGTGGATGTGTCAGTAACAAAGCCCCATTTTTAGAATACAGAGAAACATTTATACATATATATATATATATATATATCAAAATAATTATAGGAACACTTCCTAATCAGAGTATAGCATCAAGTCAGTTAGACTCCTGGGATATTGATCTGGTCAGTTAAGTAGCAGAGGGGGGTTGTTAATCAGTTTCAGCTGCTTTGGTGTTAATGAAACTAAAAACAGGTGCGCTAGATGGACAACAATGAGACAATCCCCAAAACAGGAATGGTTTTACAGGTGGAGGCTACTGACATTTTTTTCCCTACTCATCTTTTCTGACTCTTTTTCACTAGTTTTGCATTTGGCTAGGGTCAGGGTAACTACTGGTAGCATGAGGCCATACCTGGAGCCTACAGAGGTTGAACAGGCAGTCCAACTCCTCCAGGATGGTACATCAATACTTTCCATTGCCAGAAGGTTTACTTTGTCTCCCAATACAGTCTCAAGAGCATAGAGGAGATTCCAGGAGACAGGCAGTTACTCTAGGACAGCTGGACAGGGCTGTATAAGGTCCTTAACCCATCATCAGGACCGGTATCTGCTCCTTTGTGCAAGAGCATAGAGGAGATTCCAGGAGACAGGCAGTTACTCTAGGAGAGCTGGACAGGGCTGTATAAGGTCCTTAACCCATCAGCAGGACCGGTATCTGCTCCTTTGTGCAAGGAGGAACAAGATGAGCACTGCCAGAGCCTTACAAAATGACCTCCAGCAGGCCACTGTTGTGAAGGTCTCTGACCAAACAATCAGAAACAGACTGTGCTCACTGCCCGGCACCATAGAGCTTGATTGGCATTTGCAATTGAACACCAGAATTGGCAGGTCCGCCACCGGCGACCTGTGCTTTTCACAAATGAGAGCAGGTTCACCCTGAGCACATGTGACAGACGTGAAAGGGTCTGGAGAAGCCGCGGAGAACGTTATGCTGCCAGTAACACTGTTCAGCATGACCGTTTTGGTGGTGTGTGTCAGTGATGGTCTGGGGAAGCATATCCATGGAGGGATGCACAGACCTCTACAGGCTAGACAATGAGACGCTGACTGCCATTAGGTTTTGGGAAGAAATCCTTGGACCCATTGGCAGACCCTACGCTGGTGCAGTGGATCCTGGGTTCCTCCTGGTGCACGACAATGCTCGGCCTCTTGTGGAGAGAGTATGCAGGCAGTTCCTAGAGGATGAAGGAATTGATACCATTGAATGGCCCCCACGCTCGACTTACCTAAGTCCAAAAGAACACCTCTGGGATATCATGTTTCGGTCCATCCGACGACGCCAGGTTGCACCTCAGACTGTCCAGGAGCTCAGTAATTCCCTGGTCTAGATCTGGGAGGAAATACCTCAGGACACCATCCGTTGTCTCATTAACAGCATACCCCAACATTGTCAGGCATGCATACAAGTACGTGGGGGCCATACAAACTACTAAGTACCATTTAGAGATGCTGCAATGAAACTTCAGCAAAATGCACTACCCTGCATCATTTGTTCACTTAGATTTTCGGGGTGTCTTTGAATTCAGTCCTCTGTAGGTTGATCATTTTCATTAAATGATGGGGCATCCTTATGTTCCTAACACATTACCCAATCCATAGCAGTATAGATATCCAGCAGGAGATCTTTCTCCATTGAGTTCTCATGTGTTTTCAAAGTGTTCCTTTCATTTTTTTGAGCAGTGTATGTATGTGTGTGTGTATATATGAATATATATATATATATATATATATATATATATATATATATAAACACACATATACATACACACACATACACTGTATAGTGTATATACATGCATCAAAATATTTTAATAGCAGGGCTCTGATAAGATGTTTAACTTTTTTATAGGTTGTAGAGAAATACAGTATTCTTTTTTGATTTTTTTTCCTTTTTTTTTCTTTAGTTTATATGCATGTGTGTCTTTAATGATATAATAAAGTATTTTATAATTAATATTTTTTTGACATATAATACTTTTGTGTATTAGTAGCAATGGTATCTTAGGCCATATTTTTTTTTTCCTGGTATGCGGTTTTTGTTACTGTCAGTGTTCCCGCCAGGAAGATTTGCTCTCTCTAGTTATCCACACAGAGTGATAGGAAATTGATTATTTTAAAATTGCACTGTAACTATATTTGTAAAAAAAAAAAAAAGAAAGCACTGTAACCATCAAAAGGATAGAAGGGAAAATCATCCAACTGAAAAGGAGATGGCTTATCCTATCCAAAACTAAAAAAAAGTTTTGGCTAGAAATTTTGCTGCTATGAGCAACAAATACATTTTCAGGTCTTCCAGGTAGACGAGACCTACATATTCATCATTTATATATAATATATTACATTATACCAGGGGTGGACTGACCATTTGGAAACTTGGGCACTACCCGAGGGCCCGGGGTCAGTCCAAAAGGGGGCCCCATCAGTAGGGGGCCCCATGAGAAGCCCCTGGTACCTTTTTCATAGGCTTTTTTGAGCTTGGCCAAGGACACAGGGGCCCCATGATCCCCTATTGCCCGGGGGCCCCATGAGATGTCAGTCCGCCCCTGCATTATACTTGATTATTATTAGAATTTTTAAATATATTACATTATCATTCTTACATAATATTGCGTTTTTTTTTCAAATAACTTTCCTTAAAAGTGGAAAGGACTTCTGGGTAATCAATATTTTTCATAGCAGGTTGATCAGTGAATTCCCCACCCACTACGATTTTGAAGTATCTCTTAGTCTTTGCTAAACTAGATAAGCTGGTTGACATCACTATTTCTTTGCCCAACATTCCACCAATGGTGTCCTCATCATAGTGTGTTGATTGGTAACATGTTCATAAATTAATTTTGTAAGACATGGTGTTTAAGAAAGGTATTCATTAATAGTTAGAATAAGATGTGGGGGTGATGGTTCATTTCTATACCATAGCCAAAGTAGTTTCAATATAAATACCCATCCCTGAAATCTCATAAATTCTAATATGTTACTGTAGTTTCAAAAGTCATTTTGAATCTTTTTAAAACTGAACTCCAGGTATATAAACTTTTACGTAAAAATATATTCCTCAATAGCTACAAATGGTAAAAATCCACTTGTGCGCACCAAATGCTTTTATAAACCCAGATATTAACTTTGTAAAAGTAGCAGTGACATCATCACCATAGCCTGTGCAGAGCTGTAGGAGGGGCCCATTAGGCTCCACCCCCTACAGGAAGGGGCAGACACAAAACCAGTCACCCTGCACAAGGAGAGAGAGTAGCAGTGACTGGTCTTTTTTTGCAGGAAGGCAAAGTTTCACAAAGGACTACTGCACAGATCTGGAAAAAATACACAAAGCACACCAATATTCCAGGAAGACTACACATGACTCTTGTATTTAGACAATGTTTGCTTATCATAGAGTACATCTGCAGCTTTTGTTAAAAGTGATACCCTGTTGATCCTGCCATGTAGGTCCTTGCTCAGGCACATCCTGTATAAGCTGAAAGCACATCCCAACTGTGCTTCTGTGTAGTCACCCAGGCTTCTAAAAGAGAATAAAAATGGCAATTTCAGCAGACTTTACCCAGGTATGGTCCACTGTTGTCACCATCATGAAACCAACCCCGAGAAATGCTATGTAGCCATTCTGAATTACATGTAAAAAAAAAATGATTATGTACAGTTGCAAGAAAAAGTATGTGAACCCCTTGGGATTACGTGGAGTTTTGCATGAATTGGGCATAAAATGTGCTCTGAACGTCATCTAAGTCACAACAATAGAAGAACACAGTCTGCTGAACATAATACTACACAAACATTAGATGTTGCCATGGTTTAATTGCACATAACATGTAAACATTCACAGTGCAGTGAGGAAAAAGTATGTGAACCTTTGGACTTAATAACTGGTTGACCCTCCTTTGGCAGCAATAACCTCAACCAAACGTTTCCTGTAGTTGCAGATCAGACCTGCACAACGATCTGGAGTAATTTTGGACCACTCCTCTTCACAACATTGTTTCAGTGTAGCAATATTCTTGGGATGTCTGGTGTGAATCGCTCTCTTAAGGTCATGCCACAGCATTTCAATGGGGTTGAGGTCAGGACTCTGACTGGGCCACTCCAGAAGGCGTATTCTGTGCTGTTGCAGCCATTGTTTTGTTGAATTACTTGTCTGCTTTGGGTCATTGTCCTGTTGCAGCACCCATCCTCTGCGGAGCTTCAGTTGGCGGACAGATGGTCGTACGTTTTTTCCTGCAAAATGTCTTTATAAACTCTGGAATTCATTTTCCCATCAATGACAACAATCCGTCCAGGCCCTGAGGCAGCAAAGCAGCCCCAAACCATGATGCTCCCTCCGCCATGTTTTACAGTGGGGATGAGGTTTTGATGTTGTTGTGCTGGGCCTTTTTTTCTCCACACATAGTGTTCTGTGTTCTTCCCAAACAACTCAATCTTGGTTTCATCTGTCCACAGTATATTTTTCCAGTAGTGCTTTGGAACATCCAGGTGCTCTTTTGCAAACTCCAAACGTGCTGCAATATTCTTTTTGGACAGCAATGGCTTCCTCTGTGGTGTCCTCCCATGTACTCCATTCTTGTTTAATGTTTTCCTTATTGTAGATGTGTCAACAAAAATGTTAGCATGTGCCAGATATTTCTGTAGGTCTTTAGCTGACACTCTGGGATTCTTCTTTACCTCATGCAGCATTCTGCGCTGTGCTCTTGCAGTCATTTTTACAGGACGACCACGCCTAGAGAGAGTAGCAACAGTGCTAAACTTTCTCCATTTGTAGACAGTCTGTCTTACCGTGGACACATGAACATCAAGGCTTTTGGAGATACTTTTGTAACCCCTTCCAGCTTCATGCAAGTCAACAATTCTTGATCGTAGGTCTTCTGAAAGCTCTTTTCTGCGAGGCATGGTTCACATCAGAGAGTGCTTCTTGAAACCAGTAAACCCAAAACAGGTGTGTGTTTTTTAAGGGCAGGACAGCTGTCAGCAACACATCCAATATCATCACACTGATTGGAGTCAAGGTTGGCTCACTCCTGGCTCCAATTAGCTCTGGGAGAAGTCATTAAGCTAGGGCCTCACATACTTTTTCCTCCCTGCACTGTGAATGTTTACATGTTATGTGCAATTAAACCATGGCAACATCTAATGTTTGTGTAGCATTATGTTCAGCAGACTGTGTTCTTCTATTGTTGTGACTTAGATGACATTCAGAGAACATTTTATGCCCAATTCATGCAAAACTCCACGTAATCCCAAGGGGTTCACATACTTTTTCTTGCAACTGTATTTTAGGTCAAATAATGTTGACGATGTATTGTCAGTTAGGGTTCATGTCTACTTTACCTATCCTGTTGCATTGGAATGTCAAGTGTGATTGAATGATGGGATATTTTATGGCACACAGTACATATTTTTTTCATTTTTTAGGATGATGTCAACTCAATGTTAGAGGAGCCCCCGTCATTTCGGCCAGCTCCTCCTCCTCCTGTTACAGAAGAAGCACCTTCCATGCTCAGAAGACAAAATGGAGAGCGAGTACCGCGTCCTTCCTCTGGCTCATCACAGTCTGGGCTTTTCTTCACTGCCCCTTCCCATCCCAGTCCACCATTGCCTCCTCTAACATCACCCCCAACTCCGAGCCCTCCTCTTCCTCTTCTCACTACACCCCCCACTTCTCCTCATTCCCAGAATCCAAATGAGGCAATATATGCCACTATTTCTCCCAAAACTCAGACTTCAGCACGTCCTGCAGCCCAGCTGGCTCTGGTCACGCAGGTACCTCTACCCCCCTTCCCGAGGGTCCAGTCACCTACCAGGTTAAAGCCCATGTTGGAAAGCCCCCCGCATTCAGCTTCTTCCTCACATCCTGATCAATCAGAGGTTCACACTACACAACATTTTGTCATGGTGGAGGTCCACCGGCCCAACAGCGAGCCTGATGTCAATGAGATCCGAGCTGTACCACAATCACGAGGTAAGAGCATTTATTTGTAGCCTAGGAAAAAGGGAGCAGCTACTTTATAACATTAACACTTTTTAAAACTTGGTCTCCTAATGCAACAGCTAGCTGCAAGGGAGGTCTTAACTGGTGGCCAGGGGGGCATTTGCCCCATAGGCCAATACTGATAATGTTGGGTTGGTTGGATATAGACTGTCCCTACCATGAAATAGCTTGTTGATTGTTTTTGCCATCCCATGCCAAAGGTTCCCAGCCCTCTCCTGGCTAGAAGTCATATGGCCAGCAAGCTTCATATTTGCCCCATAGGCCAATACTGATAATGTTGGGTTGGTTAGGTTTAGACTGTCCCTACCATGAAAGAACTAGTTGGTTGTGTTTGCCATTGCAGGCCAAAGGTTCCCAGCCCTCTCCTGGCTAGAAGTCATATGGCCAGCAAGCTTCATATTTGGCCCATAGGCCAATACTGAATGTTGGGTTGGGTGGGTATAGACCAGCAATGGGCAAACTACGGCCCACGGGCCGTATACGGCCCGGCGGACCTTTTAATCCAGCCCGCGGAGCGTGGCAAACATTGGCTGTCAGGATGTAGGCGGGGCAGCGTGACGAACTTCTCTCCTCTCACAGTCCGCCCTGAAGACCGGAACGGCGTGGGAACACGGCGAGAGGAACGCGCGGAGCAAAGGTAAGTGAATTGACACAATATGGGGAATGAATTACTATAGGGGGGGATGAATTACTATAGGGGGGATGAATTACTATATGGGGGATGAATTACTATATGGGGGATGAATTACTATATGGGGGATGAATTACTATGGGGGATGAATTACTATATGGGGGATGAATTACTATGGGGGGGATGAATTACTATATGGGGGATGAATTACTATGGGGGATGAATTACTATATGGGGGATGAATTACTATGGGGGATGAATTACTATGGGGGATGAATTACTATATGGGGGATGAATTACTATGGGGGATGAATTACTATGGGGGATGAATTACTATACGGGGGATGAATTACTATAGGGGGGATGAATTACTATATGGGGGATGAATTACTATGGGGGATGAATTACTATATGGGGGATGAATTACTATGGGGGATGAATTACTATGGGGGATGAATTACTATATGGGGGATGAATAACTATGGGGGATGAATTACTATATGGGGGATTAATTACTATGCTTACTATGGGGGAATATTACTATATTTACTATGGATGGCATGGTAGTGGCTGGGCCGGCCAGCAGCTAGTCCGGCCCCCGGGTCCAATATATGAACCCATTGCGGCCCTCGAGTCAAAAGGTTTGCCCACCCCTGGTATAGACTGTCCCTAACACGAAAGAACTAGTTGGTTGTGTTTGCCATCACAGGCCAAAGGTTCCAAGCCCTCTTCTGGCTAGAAGTCATATGGCCAGCAAGCTTCATATTTGGCCCATAGGCCAATACTGAATGTTGGGTTGGGTGGGTATAGACCAGCAATGGGCAAACTACGGCCCGCAGGCCGTATACGGCCCGGCGGACCTTTTAATCCAGCCCACGGAGCGTGGCAAACATTGGCTGTCAGGATGTAGGGGGGCAGCGTGACGAACTTCTCTCCTCTCACAGTCCGCCCTGAAGACCGGAACGGCGCGGGAACACGGCGAGAGGAACGCGCGGAGCAAAGGTAAGTGAATTGACACAATATGGGGAATGAATTACTATAGGGGGGATGAATTACTATAGGGGGGATGAATTACTATATGGGGGATGAATTACTATGGGGGATGAATTACTATGGGGGATGAATTACTATATGGGGGATGAATTACTATGGGGGGGATGAATTACTATATGGGGGATGAATTACTATGGGGGATGAATTACTATATGGGGGATGAATTACTATGGGGGATGAATTACTATGGGGGATGAATTACTATATGGGGGATGAATTACTATGGGGATGAATTACTATGGGGGATGAATTACTATACGGGGGATGAATTACTATAGGGGGGATGAATTACTATATGGGGGATGAATTACTATGGGGGATGAATTACTATATGGGGGATGAATAACTATGGGGGATGAATTACTATGGGGGATGAATTACTATATGGGGGATTAATTACTATGCTTACTATGGGGGAATATTACTATACTTACTATGGATGGCATGGTAGTGGCTGGGCCGGCCAGCAGCTAGTCCGGCCCCCGGGTCTAATATATGAACCCATTGCGGCCCTCGAGTCAAAAGGTTTGCCCACCCCTGGTATAGACTGTCCCTAACACGAAAGAACTAGTTGGTTGTGTTTGCCATCACAGGCCAAAGGTTCCAAGCCCTCTCCTGGCTAGAAGTCACATGGTCAGTATATTTGCCTCATATGCCAATACTGATAATGTTGGGTTTGTGACACTTTGTAGAGATACTTTACAATTCTAACATCGACCAAAGTAGAACCCACAGTCAATGATATGTGTTAGGCATTACAGGGTCATCTCATTCAGACCTGCAAGGACAGTGACTGGCAGAGTGAAGTCTTCCAGCACCAACTTTCTTTGCAGCTCTGAGATGTCATGTGACCAAATGCCGAGAGCCACAAACAGAGCTGCAATTGGAAAATGTGAAATTGCCTGTTGCTATAAACTAAGACCTTAAAGAACACCTATGTCCACCAACCAATGTGGAGCCATGGTACACGTTGGGGTCTATTTATAAATCATTCATAGTATGAATATCAGAAGCATTAATGCAAGCTGAATGAACTGTCCCTGTGTTTTTTCCTAATTCATTAATTCCTGCATCATCAGCTGAGGCTAAAATGCAGTATAATTTTCTGAATTACCTTAATGAGAAAATATACAGCATTTTGGCCACTAGATGAAGCTAATGATGCAGGAATGAGTCTATTAAAAATACAGGGAAATTTCATTCATCTTGCACGAGTGCTTCTGACATACGTCCAATGAAGGTTTTATAAACATTTACAGTTAGGTCCATATATATTTGGACACAGGCACAATGTTCATACTTTTGGCTCTGTATTCCACCAGAATAAATTAAAACAAAACAATCCAAATGAATTTGAATTGCAGACTTTCAGCTTTAATTCAAGGGGTTGAACATAAATATCAAGTACAAATCTTAGGAACTGCAACCGTTTTTATACACAGTCCCTCCATTTTCAGGGGCTCAAATGTAATTGGACAAATGAATATAATCATAAATAAAATGTTCAATTTTAATATTTTGTGGAGAATCTTTTACTGGCAATGATTGCCTAAAGTCTGGAACCCATGGACATTACCAAAGACTGGGTTTCCTCCTTTCTTTTGGATGTACATACCCTCAAATTAAACCTGAGAGTTTGCACTTTCAGCCCATATGCATTATGTAACTAAAGCTCGAATATGTTTTGGTAAATACCTGAAAAAATCTAAAATTGTGCTTGTGTCCAAATATATATGGACCCAACTGTATATAGCCCGTGTAGACTACCAAGAATGAGCTAGTTGGTTGTGTTTGCTACCCCAGGCCAAAGGTTCTCAGCCCTCCCCTGGCTAGTAGTCATGTGGTCAGCATGTTTCGTATGTGATCTTTAGCCAACAATAATACAACTATGAAGGTTAAAATAGCTGAGAAAATGGCTGTAATGTTTGCAATGAAATTAGTAAATGAAGAATACTCAATAGAAGCTGTCCCATTGATGACACAGGAATCCTAACTACAGAGTTAAACAGAGTGGCGAATCCTTCTCTTACCTGGTATACAAAGAAGTATTGTGGTGCAAGACTCAATAATTATTGATTATATTATATTGATTATAATCATAACATAAGCAGATAAAATTGGTAATCAGAATGAAGGCACTAGGGCAAAGTCATAATTCAGCTGAGCACCTTTGGTTGTCTTTTGGATGTTTTTTTTAGCATGTATGCAAGTGTTTTTGTGTGGGTTTCAGGCTTGAGTGTTTTTTTTTTTGCCAATGATCAGCTAGTAAAAAAATAATAAATAGGAAAGCAATCAAAAAAAAAAAACGCATATTACAGACCTTTTTTGTGCATTTTTGTGTTTTTCATGCACTGCAATTTAAGCCTATTAGGGCCAAAATGTGTGCCTCAAAAGAAGCTTGTGTACTATTCTGAGGGATGATCTTCAAGCAACACTACGCACAGGTGTGAATGAGTACCACTAAATAGAATGTAAATCCTAGTGTTGAGCGTCATGCTTCAGATCGCTCAGGTGGGAATAGAGCCTCAATCATTGGCTTGGCCAGCATTACGTAAGAGCTGAATTTATAGATGCAAAATGTGGGACTACAGTACATGAAAATAAAGTTCATCCTTCACCAATTAACATAACGACATTGTTAACCATCACCTTAGGCCAGGGGTCTCCAAACTATGGCCCTCCAGGTGTTGAGGAACTGAAAATCCCATGAGGCCTTGCAAGACTCTGACACCCACAGGCAAGACTCCCAGAGGCAGAGGCATGATAGGACTTGTAGTACTTCAACAGCTGGAGGGCCATAGTTTGGAGACCCCTTAGGCTGTGTTCAGCACTGGATGATGCGCCAGCACGTGCTCATTGCTGCACGTTGTTACTCGTTACCTTGCTAGGGTAGTCCATTTATTTGAATGGGCTGTTTCCTGCATCTAAAACGCACCAAAGAAGTGTACTGCCCTGCCTCTCCACCTTGTCCATTGAGAAGCATTCTCTGAATGGTGCCTGTGCAGAGTGGCTGACCTCCTCTGTTCAGAATGCAGCAGAGCAGTGTCCCAGCACAGGTCCCTGAAGCCAGTGGAGATAACTGGTGTAGTGGTGTCTACTTCAGAGATTTCCACTTTCCAGGGGCATCTGCCAGATATGATATATACATAGTTAAATCCAATCTGCATCATTGTAACTATGTATAATACAGCCATGCCTGAAATTCTTCTTCAAGGTTGCATTCATACCTTCACATGCCCTGAATGCATGACAAAATGCACAGGAACGCACATATTGGTGCACGTTT